CTCCGGTCACCGGCGAGATAGAATAGGACATGGGACATGCACCGGCTCGCAAGACTCAAGGTGCGGCCGTCTCCCATGTCCCACTCTTCCTCGTCAGAGTCCAGAACCTTCGCGATGTCAGTGGACGTGAGATCGATGATTGATCCGTCTAGGATGGAGCCAGCGACGTCCACCATGATGCGGTAGCGGCGCCCGGACTGGTACACCATACCGGGCACCGGATAATGCAACACTGCCTCACGAACGTCCACTGTCACGAGGGCTTCCGTCATCACCGGGATACACCTCGCGGCAGATCCATGCGCCATTTGGGTGGAAGCAATGGATCTCGACAGAAAAAGTCTGAGCACTACCGTCGAGCGGCCTCCTCCAGGGAGCGGCGACGTCATCTCCTCCTCGGGGCCCTGTGCAACGAGGACCGGATCAATGGATCTGGAAGTGTAGGGCTCGGATCCTCTACCTGCCATGCCGGAGAAGACCAAAAATCGCCGAACGGGAGTTTGGGTGACGAAGTGGAGTGGAGCGGCAAGGGTTTGGTTCGAGGAGCGAATAAGGACAAATTTATGTGTGTCGGGTAGGTCAACGTGGGCCGTGAAGGGTGAGGTCTTTAGCCATACTTATTAGGTAAGGGCATGTGGAGTTTGTTTTCTCCCGTTGCAACGCACGGACATATTTACTAGTATATATATATATATATATATATATATATATATATATATATATATATATATATATATATATATATATATATATATATATAAGGTCATGCTATTTGTCACCATGGGTGAGGAATAGTTATTCTTCACCCCCCTCTATTTTACCATCAATGCATCGTAATTTTACGTTCCGTAAATTTTGTCTTATTTCCGACGCAAAAAGAGACCGTAAGAAAATATATAATCACCGTAAAAAATATTTTATGTTATGTAAAATTACAAACATAAAAACATAGTCTAAAATACACATAAACTATAAATTTTCTTGTCTTATGACCTATATTTTTATTGTTTATGTCAAATTTTACATAGTGAATCAATAGGAATGTAACTATTTGAATTCAAAACGTAATTTAATTATGAAATGATTATAAGATTACCTCGGGTGAAGAATAATTTATTCTGCACCCTAGGTGATGAATAGTACATGATCATTTAAAGTACATGGGAATGTAACTAATTTATGTTTATATGAATATAACTATATATATATATATATATATATATATATATAGGAATGTAACTATATATATATATATAGGAATGTAACTATATATGAGTACATGATCTATTTAAAGTACAAGGCAAGCCAGAATATTTCTTAATCTAATTTATGTTTCTAATACAATCACATTACTCAACAATAATCATCACGACTATCCCGTGATCAAACGCATATCACCTCTCCCTTTTACTAAGAACGCCCTCCTAATCCGATGATAAAAAAAAAAGAACGATCTTTACGTTTGAGCAAAAAAAAAAAAACGATCTTCTGAGCACGCAGGCCGTGCCACTGTGGGTGGCTCCACCCTAATAAAGCTCACCCCGCGTGGAACCCACATTCAGTGGCCTTGCGTTACCAGTGCCACCACCCCACCGCTTTCCTTCATGTGATCCACCCCGCCCCACCCCTCCCCATCACATGCCTATCTCCGCTACTGCTAGTTCATCATTTCACACTCCCACCCCTGCCCTCACTCTCTAAAGGCTCGACTACTCACTCTGCCCACACCCGTCACCGCAGCCTCGCAAAATTATCGCCCCAGGTACAGGTAAGAGGGCGAGAGAGAAGGCGATGTCAATGGCGGAGGAGCAGTACTACGGGGGCCCGCGCGGGGCGCCGCACGGGCTGCTGCTGGCGGTGGTGGCGGGGCTGGTGGTGGCGGGCCCGCTCTTCCTGGGCGACGGCGGCGAGGCGGTCACCGACGCCATCGCCGAGCTGCTCAGCCCCGTGGGCCTGCTCCTCCTCCCCGTGGGCCTCCTCCTCCTCATCCGCCTTCTCTCCTCCGACCGCGGCGCCGCGGCGTTCGCCGACGTGTTCGCCTTCGGCGGCTCGCCCGACGCCGTGCACCGCGTCGGGGGCTCCCCCATCGGCGTGGCGCTCATGCTGCTTCTCATCCTCGCCCTCCTCTACTACCGCTCCGCGCTCTTCGGCGGCGGCGGAGACGACGACGAGTAGGCGCCTGCCAGTAGGTGGGTAGAGTCTGATCTCGGGGTTGTTTTGGCAGTTTCCGTTTGATGGCTGGGCCTGGGTGTAAAAGTGCGGTGTAAATTAACTGGTAGCTACTCGCCGTGTTGGTTTGCTCTGCGTTAAGGGCTTAAGGCTGAAGGCTCTGTGCTGCATGGGTCCATGTGCTTATCTATATCTACTAGAAGGGGACGCGCGCCTTGCCGCGCCTTTTTTTTACCGGCCTCTTTTCTACCTTTGATGGTGGTCTCTTCCTCCATGTACCGTATTGTATTTTGACTTCTGGTAGTTGCCGGTTCAGTAGGTTGTTACGGTAGGGGTTATCACCCACCAGAGCGCATGAACACCCACCACAACAAAGGATAGTCACATCTCCTTTGTAGCTGTAGGGATTGCCTAAGCAGAAGCTAGATGATATTTGGATAATATAGGATTAGAAGTTAATGCCTTTCATAGCCTATTTAGCACGATAAATTAGAAAACAACATTAGCACATTGGAGAAAAGCTATAGTTTTGTGTATGAACATGTTCACTTTGGAATTTGGATAAAACTCGTTACTAAAAATGACACATGGTGCTTGTTGGCATAATTAAGCTCAAAAGGATTTTCATATGAGAGGATTACATCAAAGTAAAATGTTTCCTGAACATATCACTTGTTTTTGTAATAAGAATGAGTCGAGACAATTTCCCGGATGCTCAAAATCAGTGTCGGAAGCTTTAAACATAAGCACAAAGCTAGTGCGTGTGTGCGTGTGCGCGCGACCCCTCCTTACCCCTGATGTCTTCCTGTTCAATGCAATAAAACACAAATTCTTTTGTGTTTTCTCGAGAAAAAAATACTGCTAAAATGTATTTTTGTTTCTACAATTATCCTCCCCAACTGCATTTCTCTTGGCCCATATGTGTGTGGGAGAGCAGGTAGCTCTGAAACTGGCCCTGCTTCTTTGCATCAAAACATAATGAGAAACATAAAATATTATGAGTATGGTATATTAAACACTCAGACATAACAAAAAAGAATTCATAAAACTGGATAAAACCTTTCTTCTCTCTATTTATGTAACGCCCCAAGATCGATGCTTCAGATGCCTTTCATGTTTTACGTGTCAGTTGTGTTATTTATTTATTTATCGTATTCATCTTTACATCATGTGCATTGCATCATATCATCTTGCAACCCTTTTTTAAAAAAAACTTAACATAACAAAAAAGAATTCATAAAACTGGATAAAACCTTTCTTCACTCTATTTATGTAACGCCCCAAGATCGATGCTCCAGATGCCTTTCATGTTTTACGTGTCAGTTGTGTTAATTACTTATTTGTCGCATTCATCTTTACATCATGTGCATTGCATCATATCATCTTGCAACCCTTTTTAAAAAAAAAACTTAACTTAAATAAATCGTATGGATCTTTGATCCATTTAAATTGAGGGAATTCACATAGCGATTTCTCTTTATAACATATCCTCTCGATATTTAGAGAGCTACAATAAATATTTCATTATTTTGGAATTAACCATAACACACTTGTATTTTATTTTCATGCCTCTTCTGTTTCAAGTTTCACCTTCAAACCTTGGCAACAATTCTTTATCTCTTTTATCGAGGCTCCTCTAAAAATCCAAACATTTATGGCCCTTTCTTTTACCAAGTCTTAGTTCAAACTCATTTGAATTAAATTCAAATGAGTTTGAATTTATATCTTTCGATCATGCCATTTCTAATTTTCTTGGGTCAAACTCATTTTTGTGAGACCGGGAAAATTGTCCCCGAGTTCAAATTCCTTTCCCTAAACCTCCCTCTTCCTTTTCCTTCTCTCTATTGTTTTCTGTTAAAGAAAATATGAGGGAGAGAGAGAGAGCACAACCAGCAGCCCAGCCGACCAGGCCTATGGCTGTTTCCCTCTCCGCCGACCCATCTGTAGCCCAGCCCGCACCCCTCCGAACCCTAGCTAACTGTGACGCCCCGAGACCGATGCGTCAGGTGTCTTCCAGTTATTCACTGTTGTTACCATGTCATTTGTTTGTTTGTTGCATTTCATCATGTCATCATTGTTTGCTTTGCATCGTGCCTCTTGCCATTTTGCATTTCATCTTTATCACCATGTGCATTGCATTCTTCATGATGTTGTCTTGCTCTATTCTTGTCATTTGTATCAACCCCTTCCCATCTCTCTAAAATCTACCCATGTGTCATCACTGCCTTCTTCTTTCTTATTCCTTTCATTTTTGCAAGTGCCATTTTCTGTCGTCCATAAATGTTCATTCTTTTCCTATTAACCATACACCTTTCCTTTAACCTCTCTGTCAAATTTCAGATCCTTTGGAGTTGTTTTGGTTAGGTTCGAAAATGCCTCAAGTTTGAATGATATTTAAACTTGTTTTATTTTTCTACCTCTAAAGATGTCTAAACCAATTTTATCAAATAGGGCATGAATTCAAGGTCATGAGGATATTTTTATATTTCTCATACACCTCTCCTTTTCCCCTGTGCTTTTCTCTTTATTTTCTGCTTGAAGAAAATTAGAGAGAGGAAACAGGAGCTTCAGACCAGCCGCAGCCCACTTGGGCCTCCCTCCAAGCCGGCCCACCTAGGCCACCCTTTCCCGCAGCCTAGCAACCAGGCCTCTCACCACTCCCTTCTCCACTGGGCCTCCTGCGCCGGCCCACCTTAACCGCCACTAACCCTAGCGAGCTTCTCTCCTCTCTCCCTCGTCTCCACCTCGCGCCGCCAGGAGAGGCCCGATCCCATCTCCATTCGCTCGATCCCCTCCTCACCTCTCGATCCCGCGCGCCTCCCTCTCTCCCTCTACAGCGCACCTCCCATGGCGCCGTCACCCCGCGCCAAGTCTTCGCGTCGCCGGAGCCCTGTGCAGCTGCGCTGCTGCCTGCCCGCGAGCCTCCTCCGAGCGTCTCCTTCCTCGCGCCCGTCCAGCAGGCCACTAGCGAGGCCCCGCATCCGCGCCTCCCCCGAGTTGCGTCCGTCGCCCGGCATGGCCCGTGAGACCATCAGCATCGCTGGCACCCTGCAGCTCCCGCCGTCCTTCTCCCTTTGCAGCGCTCGAGCCCCACTCCGCGCTGGCCCTTGCCCTGCCGTCCGTCGGCCCGGCGAGCCGGACCTCTCCGTTGCCCTCGCCGACAACCTGCACGGCGCCTCCCAGAACGCGCCTTCCGGCCTCCCTGCTCCCTGCTCGGGTCGCTGCTTCACGCCTAGGCCGACCCTACTCCACCGGCATCCTCCCGCCTTGCTTCGCCTCCTGGCAGGCAACAACAGCGTCGACCTCGCCCCTCGTTGGCCTTCGCACCCCTGCTCGACGCCAAGACCGCGGCTCCTTGTCTCCGTGAACGCCAAGTTCTTTTCCATAGACCTCTCCAAGACCAGGATACGCCAATAACCGTTCGTGAATTTCGTCAAGTTGGAGCACCGTTGAACGAGGGCTTTTTCCTTGCTCATTTTGGGACGCGACAAATTCCTCTTCGAAAGTACGTCTACATGATGACCTGACAAGTACCGTGGCACCGAAGACCTTTCATGCGTCAAGTCCATCTCCGAGGATTTCACCAAGTACCACGACGACAGTTATTCGTCAAGTACCCCTTCGGATCACCAAGTTTTGGCTACCATCGTCGTGAACCGCTTTCGAAACGTGTATCACTAACGCCAAGTACTAGTTCTACGAGGACCGCCAAGTTCGTCTTCCGTCGTCTCCGAAATCGCCAAGTACCACGTCGATACGAGAACAACTACCCTCGACGTGCATTTTGGCAGGTACCACTACCGCCGACCCTCGAAGACACTGTGGACGTCAAGTTCCTCGTGTGACCCTGAACATCTACGAAAACTTGTGCGACTAAGAACGTGAACCACTATCGTCGAACCCCGAAGGACTCGGATTCGTCAAGTTCCCCTCTGAACCGGGAACCACTACTTCCACTACCATCGCCGAGGACCAATAGTATGACTACTTTCACTACCGTCGCGAGAACGTCTACTTCCTTCGACGAACTTGATCCGTTCCGAAAACGCACGCATCAAAGGTATAACCCTGAGACGACCGTCCGAGAATGAACGCTTGTGATGTGTTGTATGAGATGCCTGTGTTTGCCCCATGCCCGATCTGATCCTTGCATGTTCCTTGTTTCCTTGCCACCGTCATGTGGGACACCCGGCTACCGGGATCGCCCCACCATCTCTTGACACACTCTCACCCACTTCCTTTTGCACTGGTATCCGTTTTCGTTATCGTTGCCATGGCACCCCTTTTCTTTCCACCACGATGACAAATGCTTCATAATGCTCTTGTCAACTTTTAATAAAAATTGCATAAAACTTGAAAAACTCATCCGCATCATGATAACAACATCAACAATGTTAAAATTGTTGTTTGCTTTAAATTGCTATGCATGTGGGGATTTACCAGAATTGTTGTTTGATGTTTTCGGCCTCATTTAAAATGCCTAACTGAGTATTTTACTCATGCTTCACCTCTTGCCATGTTAGCCAACATTTAACATTGTTGAGTACCTAACCGGGAGTGAACTAAATAAGTCATGTGGTGTTTCGTCAATATGCAACCCGTTGCATATTGAGGTCCACTTAATTTGTAGTTTTGGTTGTTGCACTTTGCCATGCCGTGCATATTTAAACTGGATATGCATCATACTTGATTGTGCATCATGCCATGTTATGTGATGGTTGTTTACTATGTTGTTTGCTTCTTGCTAGTTGTTCGCTCTATTGCTATGCCGCGATACCTACCACTTGCTATATCATGCCTCCCATTTTGTCATGTCAGCCTCTAACCCACCTTTCCTAGCAAACCGTTGTTTGGCTAGGTTACAGCTTTTGCTCAGCCCCTCTTATAGCGTTGTTAGTTGCAGGTGAAGATGAAGATTGTTCCATGTTGAAACATGGATATGTTGGGATATCACAATATCTCTTATTTAATTAATGCATCTATATACTTGGTAAAGGGTGGAAGGCTCGGCCTTATGCCTGGTGTTTTGTTCCACTCTTGCCGCCCTAGTTTCCGTCATACCGGTGTTATGTTCCTTGATTTTGCGTTCCTTACATGGTTGGGTGTTATGGGAAGCCCTTGACAGTTCGCTTTGAATAAAACTCCTCCAGCAAGGCCCAACCTTGGTTTTACATTTGCCTAACAACCTATTACCCTTCCCTTGGGTCGGCCAACCCAAGGGTCATCTTTATTTTAACCCCCCTGGGCCAGTGCTTGTCTAAGTGTTGGTCTGAACCGGGCAGCCTGCGGGGCCACCTCGGGGCAACTCAAGGGTTGGTTTTACTCGTAGCTTGACCTATCCAGTGTGCCCTGAGAACGAGATATGTGCAGCTCCTATCGGGATTTGTCAGCACATTTGGGAAGCTTTGCTGGTCTTGTTTTACCATTGTCGAAATGTCTTGTAACCGGGATTCCGAGTCTGATCGGGTCTTCCTGGGAGAAGGAATATCCTTCATTGACCGTGAGAGCTTGTGATGGGCTAAGTTGGGACACCCCTGCAGGGTTTTGAACTTTCGAAAGCCGTGCCCGCGGTTATGGGCAGATGGGAATTTGTTAATATCCGGTTTTAGAGAACTTGACACTTAACTTAATTAAAATGCATCAACCGCGTGTGTAGCCGTGATGGTCTCTTTTCGGCGGAGTCCGGGAAGTGAACACGGTTCTTGTGTTATGTTGGAACGTAAGTAGTTCCAGGATCACTTCTTGATCACTTCTAGTTCACGACCGTGCTTTGCTTCTCTTCTCGCTCTCATTTGCGTAAGTTAGCCACCATATATGCTAGTGCTTGCTGCAGCTCCACCTCACTACCTTTTCCTACCCATAAGCTTAAATAGTCTTGATCGCGAGGGTGTGAGATTGCTGAGTCCTCGTGGCTCACAGATACTTCCAAAAGCAGATGCAGGTGCTGATGATGCCAGTGCAGGTGACGCAACCGAGCTCAAGGAGGAGCTCGATGAAGATCGTGTTCGTTGTGTTGTTTTTGTTTCTAGTTGATCAGTAGTGGAGCCCAGTCGGGGTGATCGGCGGATCTAGCATTAGGGGTAGTCTTCTTTTATTTAGGTTCCGTAGTCGGACCTTGATTGTATTCTGGATGATGTAATGCTATATTTATGTATCGTGTGAAGTGGCGATTGTAAGACAAATCTTTACCCCTTTCTTATTCAGTACATGGGATGTGTAAAGACTACCCCTCTTGCGACATGCCTACTATGCGGTTATGCCTCTAAGTCGTGCTGCGACACGTGGGAGATATAGCCGCATCGTGGGTGTGACAAGTTGGTAATCAGAGCCTTCCCCGACTTAGGAGCCCCCTGCTTGATCGAATCGTTGGCGTTGTTGAGTCTAGAAAAATGTTTTGAGTCTTATAGGATTATATATATATATCGGAGAGTAGGATTATTTTTACTCCTTAGTCCCTTCGTCGTTCTGGTGAGGCCTCCCGACATAGAGTTTTGACTCTTCTCTTCTCAAATTTCACTAATTTTTTTAGGATCACACAGGTATCTTGGAATCGTTCCGATGGTTTTGTGACGAGAACATTGTTCTTGGTGCTTCCTGACATTTAGGGGTTGTGGCTGTGTCCCGGGGAGTTGAGCTCCGAGGTGTTGTCGTCACAAATTTATCGTTGCAGTTCTGGAATACCTGAGTTCGCCGACATCGAAAATCTCTTTTATGCAGTTCTTGGTGAGATAACCTCGACGCCACCCAGTACTGGGGCGGGAGTTCGGGAGTATTGCCATAAGTCGTATAACGGATGCTTTTCGAATGTTGAGGTAAATGATTTCCGAAGGTTTCTTGGTTATGTGTTGAAGGATGGATATAGCTGGATGTAGGATTTGCTAGTTTTGGGTGAGATAATATGCTTCCCCTGTATCCCCAGCACCTGATTGCATAACTAGAAAGTTTCGGGAGTTTATAAGTGGGAATTCAAGTATTACGTAGGATATCTTTTCAACAGACACATGATACGATATGGGGTCTATCATATGTTTGTTTCTGGCTTATTTTGCAAGCCAATCCTTTGTTTTGTTTTGGTTTGTGGTATTCGAGTTGCTTCGAAGTCAAATGTTGATTCCATACCTTTCCTAAGCAGTGTTCTATGTGAATACCAATCCTTCTTGCTTATCGAGATTGTCATGCCAATTCTTTTCCAACCGATGTGCTTCCCTTCTAGTGGATCCTATCATTTTCAACATCCGCAAGATCAACTCTAAGTTTTCTCAACGGTATCCTTTCCATCTGCCCAAGTTGTCTTTGTTTTCCCACCCTCCCACCCTTTTTCTTCAAGGACTTGGATTTCTTAATCCGTTATCCATTTTATTGATGTGAGGTCTCTTCATCTTTTTATTTCAAGTTTCGATCCGGTGAATTTTCGTGAAGATACTAACAAAGCTTCAAGTTCAACATTCTTCGTTCTATTTCTTCTCCGGTGGATGCAATTCAAGTTTTGGTGTTGATCATATTCCTTTCATTGTTTCAAATGTTTTCTCATGCCGGTGCACCTCTTAATCAAAAATTTCTCGCTATTCAATTGTTCTGGAGTGCTCAAGATATCTCGAAGATTCGTGTGTCCACTCTGCTTTCATTCAAGCTCTTTCGAGGATGTTATCTCATTCAAGCCATTTAATTCAACTGGCATAATCCATCTTTAAAATCGTTCAACGGTGTATCTTTTGAGTGGGCCCTAACCCACAGGTCTTTTCCCAGGATCTTACTTGACTCTTCTATTTCACGGAGCTATCCTCAAATTCTTTCAAAGTTGACATAAGAATGAATTATCATCAGTCATATGTTTTTCTCCAAGATCTTTCAAATTCTTTTCGTTGTTGATCCAACCTTTATATTCTTTGTTATTCCAGAGTGTCTCAACAATTCATGGTGGTGTTTCTCGTCGTCATTCTCGAATATTGAAGACCGAAGAAGAGTTCCTCTTAAATCCTTACCTGTTCTTCCAAACACTTATGGTTCTAGCTTCATGCCATCGTCTCATAATTGTTTTTGTTTGTGAGAATTCTTTTCACCCATCCGGAGCAATTCAGGAGTCTTTTCAGTTTGATTCTCCGGAGCCCATCATCTCTGAATTATTCATTCGTTGTTCTCCAAATTTACCGGTGCATCATTCAAGTATTCGCTAATTAGCTCGGGATCTCTTCGTTCGCTTGCATCTAAATCCCCTCAAGTATCTTCATTCATTTTCAAATTCTTCCTGGTGATTTGTGCTTTTGCCACTTTATTTTTCAATTCTTACGATGGTTTGTTCAAGATTCTTCTTCCTTTGTTTTCAGATTAATTCAGTCATTGTTTCCAAATCCTACCGGTGGCTCGTTGAAGACCTTCCCAAGCTTGCGCCATATCTATCTTAATCCTTTCTACGAGAATAAGTAGTATGCCAAATCCGTTGATTGTCATCAATTTAATTGATGATGGATAAGCATAATGTAATTCTTATTTTAGTTTCAGCCAATGTTTAATTCCTTATTCCGAAGGCTCATCAAATTCTTGATTTCAATTGTTTCATATTTTTCCATTC